GCCCCGCTCCACGGGTACGATCACTACTCGGTGCTGTGCGAGCTGCTGCCCGTCGGCATCCCCTCCCTGGCCATCTGCCTGCAGACCCTGGTGAACGGTGAGCCACCCCTGTCCTGCCGGCACCGGACCAGCCGTCATGGCCGGGCTCATCCCCCATGTCCCTAACCCACAGCCAGCCACCGCGTGGGACCCTGTCCTGCTGGGAGTGGGGTGGGAGGCAGGGGAAGGACGGCTTCAGCTCCCCCAGTCTCGGGGACACGATGAAGCCAGGGGTGAGCGCTTGCCAATGGGGTGGCTCCGGCCCCTCTGCCCCTCTCCTTGCCCTTCCCAGGGGGCTTCACGGACGAGACGAAGAGGAAGGTCCTGGACACGCTGGGCTTCCAGAGCATGCAGCTGGAGCAGAGCACTTGGTGCGTGGCACTGCCGCCCCGGTTACGTCAGGAGGGATGCGCTGGAGGGGAGCAGGCGGTTGCTTACCCAAATGCCCCGGTCCCAGACCCACCTGGGGCAAGGATGGGTGCCCTCCAGCCATGCAGGGTGCTGGGGTTCACCCAGCCCGGAGCCCCGGCACAACCGGTGCACCCCATGTGTTGGGCTCTGACCTCCTCCTCCCTTTCCCCAGCGAGGGCAGGGGAGCATTCCCCGGCGCGGAGATCTACCACATGGTCGAGCAGGTTAACGGCCACCTGAAGGAGAGCATCCTTAAAGCCCTGGAGGAGGAGAGGTAACGGGTGGTGGGAGTAAGCGGGGTTGGCTGGCTCTGACCACGGGGCTGGAGCACAAGCGTTTTTGTAGGGGAGGGGACCTGCCCGGCGTGCAGCTTCCCATCCCTGGGTGGCCCCTGCACTCCCCTCATGCCTCCCCAGCGCCATCAAAGGCTGGTTCAGCCCCTATCACCGGAAGCATCAGTTCGGGAACCCCCGCAACATGGAGAGCTTCGGCAGCAAGGTGCTGAAGTACGTGGTGCTGGGGGCCGGGAGCCACCTCGGGTGCCTGCGTGGGGCTGGGAGGGGTCCTGGGCTCAGCTCTGGGGTCCCTCGAAGAAGGGAGCTGGACCCTCACTCTCCCCCCGCCAGGCTCCACGAGGACTGGGAGAGCTTCGTCCGTGACCTGCGAGCCCACCTGGAGAGGGTCTACTTCCCCGACACGGTGGAGGAGTGGATGGAGGAGAACATCAACCCCTACCTGGACCAGCTGCGGGACCTGGTGCGGGACTACCGGGCCATCATCCGCCTCAATGCCAGGCCCAAGAACACGTAGGGGCCATGGCCCCCCCCGGCTCTCACTGCCCCCCTCAGGGTGGGCTTCGGGTGCCACTGTTGCGTGTCTGTGTGCTGCTGGCTGCATCGCTGACGTTGGTTTGTACTGTACAGAGAGCTCCTGCACATCCCACTTCCACAATAAAGTATTTTCGTAGATGCTGCTGGCTGCTGGAGGGGGATGCAGCTCTGCCCCCACTGCGCAGGTGATGGGGAGCTGGGACGGGCACAGGGGGTCGAGGTCTGTCCTGCAGATGGCTCCTGGTCCCCTTGCTCCTGCTCTGCTGGCGCTGGAGGGTTTGGCAGCCGCCGGGCAGAGCTGTGACGGGGGGCAGGGGGAGGGGAGCCCACGGGATGCCCGT